AGGAGGAGGAGGAGGAGTGGGAGTAGGAGTAGTAGTAGCAGCAGCAGCTGTAGTACCAGCAGCGGTGGTATGCAATTGATGATCTAGGGGACGACTGCACAGTGTTTTGAGCCTGCTTCTTTCCATCAGCTCTGTGCTATATATTGCGAATACCTTCCTGTTGCTATTGTTGCTCCTGCTGCGGCTGCATGTCTAGAATGCCTGTAACATCATTGCTGCAAATTTCGTTCAGCAACGAAGGCTTGGGCACGCGGCTTGTTGCACCTTGATGTACACAAGAGACTGCGCCTCCTGCCAGCCACAGCATTAAATTTCCGAAGGTGGCAGTCACGATGTTTATAGACAGTTGCCTTTTCTTCGCAGATTCAGCTACCGGCCTGCGCGGAAGGCACCTTAACTGACATCAACGGCGCTTGCTTGTTCGGCGCTCAAATTCCTCCAAAACGTTGGATCATGTTAGATCCTTGATTTCCTGTAAACATTGCCGTCACTGCGGTTGTTATGACTGCAGTTGATAGAACGACCAAGACTGTTACAGGTGGTTTGTTTCATTGTAGCTAAACTATAGATATGTGGCTACCGATTATCATATGCCTGCTTTTTCCCCTTCTCATGCTGCAAAGCACTTTGTCAAAGTCTCCTTCAATGCCTTGGAGAAGAAAACCATGGCCGCGTACTCCGTCAAGGGCCACCACATCTGCACATCCGAAGCTGCTGTGTGGATTTCGATTTGCTTCGATGTTTGCGCAGGGTGGGGGTGTATTGAATCTTCAGCACGGGTTCATCCTGATCCTTAGTTGGAGTTTGGAGCTGGTCGGGCTTAGAGGCCTTCTGCAGATCTACTTACGAACACGGGCGGGCATGCCAGCGGTGTTCCTTGTGTACAGTACTTGCAGTGTAATCGAGCTGGGCGCCTGTTGTTTTCGGCCTTCCTTGTATGTGCGGCTGTGTGCAATGGTGTCAGCATCGTGCTGGGTGTGTTGGAACACCATGAAGCATCGTGCACAAGCAAGGAGATAATAACACAGCAAACAAGTGTAGCCGCACATCACTAGCTGCGGTGTTTGCAGTGCAACGGGCGACACTCTGGCACAGTGGAGGACAGGTAGGTATGCACTGATAGGCAAATCTAAGCGCACACCTCTGCAAAATGGGTGTGGGCAAAGATTACGAAGTGGAAAAACAACTCTGAACAGGTTTGCGACACAACGCCACAGGTACTCTGCACGGGACTTCCAACTAAGGCAGCTGGAGAAAGCCAAAAGACGGTGAAGTCACAGCATTGCAGATCTCTCCACACAACCTGCTGAACACACTAAAATCTGGAACCTGCTACCCACTACCCTGGCCTCTTCGGTGATCTCTTGCGGCGAGCTTGTTCGCTTCAAAGCCGCGGAGAGGGCATTGGTGGCCCGGGCTAGGTAGATCGGGGAGATGATGTTGAAGGCCTGAGGTGTCGGTTTCAGGGCTTTACGGAGGAATACGGAGGAGTCACTTCCAACACCCGTCACTGCCTACGCGATCTGATTGTTTTTAACCTTGTGCACTCATATATCCAAAAAGCGGGCGCGCAGGCCTTCGAGAGCACGACACAGAACCAAGTCAAAGAGGCTCGAATGCGGTTCATCAGCACCTGTCCAGACAGCAGCTGGGCAGCATACGCCACATGCACGCGTTGTTCAAGCCATCGTCTTAGCACGAAACAGGGGTGTCTTGCCCTTTATAAGCACGGCCCGAGCGGCCCGAGATAGTTCTGAACGACACTCTGGATTGATCTTAACTCCTCGCTGCGGATATGTAATTGTTTCGTGACCTCGGTCAACTTATGCAAGAAGTCATGTCAAAGCGGCCACGCAAGACAAAAAAAGACAGTGTCCTGTCAACACGACAGAGGATGCATGACGGCATGAGAGTTGCTGTCATGCTGGGTGGCTGCAACAGATGCTAATCGGCTCAATATCAAGAATACTCTGAGCACGAGAGTTTGGATGGATGCAGTTGATCCACAGCATGCATCGCGAAGGCCTCGTTCTGGCATGCTATGCTTGGCTTAGCATGCAAAAACCGTTCTTGCAAACGGCCCCAAGAAGAACTTTACTACACTCCCGCCGCCCAAGCCAACCATTTGCAACCGGACAATGTGCGAAAAAAGCAGGGATACGCCGGACAGACCCGTACTTTGACGGTTCGCAAGACTTATGCCAAGTGTGGACAAAAAATGTCAAACCTAGGGCTGACGATTTTTGCGGGATGTTGTAAAATTTTGGAATCTCTTGGGCTTCAGGGCTTACAAGTGCCGGGTGTATGGGGCTTGGTTTTCTGCAAGATCCGTTATCTCCGCAAGACGGTGCATATCTCGAGCATTTGTATCCCACATGTTTTGGCATCCGTTGCTGTGAACAGCCCTGAACAGTACTATTCATGACCGGAAAGCCCCGACGGCCTCTTGGGGCTTGCCTGTCGACGGCCAGAAGTAAGGCTTCAGAACCTCAGGCGAGCATATTGTTCCTTAGATAGATCCGACGACCCAAAGCCATGCCTTGCGAGCTGAGCTCAACCGAATCTCGAATGCTTAGCCGACCATGCTCAGGATGCGGCAAATGTACAAGCACATGTAAACAAACCGACATTCCGGTTCCCAGACATTCCTGATTATTGAGCCTTTCGCTCAACTTGCGCGTTTCGTACACATGTCTTGCCCCTGTGCAAGTTCTTGCAGGCCCATACTTTGTATAGTATACATGTGCGAGACCATGGGACCCAGCGATCCAACACAATACGCCCGCGATACTCGTAATTATGGCCTTTGATACCACCAGTTGCACTTACATGTCGGAGACTTGCTTTCAGCTTTATATCCACCAAGGTCAACAAGGTCAAGTACATACCTTACAAACCACACCACAAAACGCTACTACAGTACATCGCACCTCGTTTACTGAACTCTACAAGTAGATTTCATACGTTCCAGCCATGGATTGACTCATGGCTTGGACTCCGCATGACTACGCTGTGCTGCACATTTGCGCTGCCATGAACTAAATGAAGTGAAATCGCATCACGCCACATTGGATTATACATCGTACGCAACAGTTACTCCTGTTCAGAAACTGCATTGTCGCTACTTGGTGCCCTAGCCTTCAAGGTCTGGAAGAAGGACAGCTTCGACGAGTACCTTCTGCTGTCAGTCGGGCCAGGCCCTGGCTGTGACCCGAAACGCGCATGTGAAGCGGCGTGAAGGGATCTGTGGCAGACACTGCAGTCTTAAAGAGGCACGACAAGGAAGCCAGGTGGAGCACTGCTCCTCGCCTGTGTCCGTCGCCGAGGCCTGCCGCATTGAAAGATCAGGGAAGCTGCATCACGAACAATATCGACTCCAAGTTCAGATGGGCGGGAACTTGAGATCCTGAGCGAGACCGGCTCATCCTTCAACCTCCGAAGCCGCGATCTCTCCAAATCTCGTGCGGCATTCACAGTCAAAGCCCCAAACCCAATTGTAGACTTTAGCGTTACGGTTTCGAGAGCGGGTTCCGATGCCCGAAGCGCAAGGAAACTCCCCACTGCATGTCACGGCGAGGGTTAAAGCACAACCCTTACTACGGAATCCAGCTCATGTCTGCAAGCAATGGGTGGTATGCATCAAGAATCTGTTGGAGATGTCCTGACCCTTTGCATGACTCCCAACCCATCCGAGGTCAAGCAGCGACTTCCTCCCGCAAACGAACTAAATTAAAGGATGAATGCGAAGTCGGTCTTGAGATCGTTTGAGACCCCGTGGTCAAGATTGCAGAAGGGGCTTGCAAGCACACCATGAAAGCCCCGGGCGAGTGGCCTCCTGTGCTGCAGCCGCCTGACAAGATATCTGAATCTGTCACATCCAGAAATCTCGACGAGCACACTGTCAGAGAGCACAGGAGACCTTCGGCTCACTTTTTGCATCTATGAACATGAAGGCCTTAGACCTTTACCGTAAGGACATCCTGCACGGCACACCGTCACAGAGTCGAACCCGTGCGATGATGCACTGATTCCGTCTGGCTAGTTTCTACTGTGCTGGCTGGGGCTCGGTGGAAAAGGGACAAAGGAAACATAAGGAACAAGGCTGAGCCTTTCAGAAATGGCCCAAAGAGTGATCTGCTCATTCCGGCGCTCCTAACTAAGGCTTCCCAGCTTCCCCGGAAACAATCCTTATTGGCATTGTTCAAAGACTCGCACCTGTTCTGCAGCCGCTGCCTCTCGCCGACAGGCTATCAAGTAAACTTGAGAGACCTCAAGAGCTGCAGGGGTCAAAGTTTGAGGGTGTAGAGTAGTTTAGAGGTCCAGGTCTCGCAGCAGTGTCGGTGAGACTCGCTGGCTTGCTCCTACTTGCGACACCATGGTGGAGAAACACAGATCCCTTCCCTCGAAACCGAAACTCGAGGATTTTCTTGAGTTCGGAACCGAGATCGTGAGCTTCGTAACAAACCTGCTGGACGAGTGCATCTGGGCACCGAACGGCTGCCAGGGAGAACGCCGCAACGGTGCCCCAAGCCACCTCAAATCTATCTGTGATTTATGCCGACCCAGGCTCAAGGAACACCTCAAGCCTGCCCTTGCTGACACGCCTCATGCGCACGCACACACACACAATTCCTCTTATCACTGTTCTTCATCACGGTGGAGTACCGAGCATCTCTTGCCGCTTGTGACTGGTAGTGACTCTGCGCACTTGATTTTGCCAACAGCGTTTCCGGAATCTTACACGGCAACCATGCAATCATCATGTCTTGCTATATCCTGTTCACAGCCCTCGACCCGCAGAGCCCTAGGGAATCCGAAACCCGAAGCCTTACAGCCTTTCAAGTCCTCAACCCTGAGTTCCATGTTCCAAGACGATCTCCTGCCCCGATCCAGGGCCCCCCGGCTGTCGGCATAAAGATCTTTCCGGCGTCTGCCAGCTCCCAGTCCAAAAGGGTGGCCCTGAAGCCGAAGGCACCAGGAGCTGCATCGTCTTAAGTAGCTAGCTGCTAGCTCCCGTAGTATATCGAGTATGCCACCGCTACGATCTGCTTGGTTTGCTCTTGGCCAAACTCTGCTGACACTTCAAGTCGTTTGTACCTAGTTGTACCTATTTCGGACTGGTGATGCAACGCGCTTGTGTGCGTGTGCGCAATTCAGTATACACAAAGAGAGAGACAAAGAGAAAGGAGAGAGAGTGAGAGATTGGCAGCATTGCTAGGACCTAGGAGTCTAAGTCTATCTTTCCGCTCGATGATCATCAGTACCCCTACGTCGCCTGCCTCCCCACTCCGCCAGCAAATCCCATGAAATGAACGTTTCGTCTTCCTGCACCTCGACATTAAAACTGTGAAATGTCGAGTTGGCTGACGAATCGTGATCGAAACAACACGGAATTCACCTTGCTTAGTCGCGCTCACCTCTAAGTAAGCTATACCCCCAGGATCTTCGAGGCAAGCCCAGCCCCCTCCTGAGGATGCCAATGAGCAGCACAACCTCAGTGAGACAGACCGGCTGATCGAATGTTCACGTTTCGGTCGTAGGAGGTATAACCATGACAATGCTGTCCCTGCTTGGTGCAGCTTGCTTGTGTGTGGTGGTCTGGCTAGTCGTGTCCACTCGTGTTCATTCAAAAGAAAGAGCTGCAAGCATGGATCCTTGCCGCATGTTGAGCGTTCGAAGCCATTTTCTCTGCTGCGCACTGCAACTGCGCTTAGATCAATTCCGCAGGTTGCAAGATTAAGCAACGCAAGCCATCATGCAGTCAGCCCGAAGCTCCTTGTGGAGAGTTCCCAGAAACCACACACTGGCTCGTTTCGTCCTGCTGTGATGCTGCACACCGGGATAAGTTGGCCTGAAGGGAATCGAACCCGGATGGTCGCTCACCGATTTTCCAGTGCTGACCTCCCCTCACACCCAGCCAGCAGGGTGCAAAGAATCACTGTGGGTAGGGTCGCGGTGTCATGCCAATGCTAATAACCAGCAGAACTTGTGCAAGCTGCGCAAACACTTCTCAAACCCAATCAAGACATCAACTGGAGTGGGCGACTTCAAAGATCCGAAGGACAAGGCAAGCTGCTATTTCAAGTCAGCGTTTAGGAGTGAGAGGGCATATTGCCACGCGACCGTCCCATTCAATTGTCGAGCAAGACCGCCGAAACATGGATACCAAACATGTCACAGCGACCGCACGCATCTTCACACCGGAAGCTTGTAATGTGCTTCGGGCCAGAGCTGTTGACTGCTCAACCCCAAAGTCTCAAGCGCTTGGCGCAGCTTATCAAGCAATCATGTGAGAAGTTAGCCTGAAGCCACAAAAAACCCCCTTGGCCCCCATATGCGATAGCAAGATGAATCTCCTCTTCAGCTTGGCCCCCAACCACGATGCATCGCCGGGCCAGCCTCGCGCCAGCCTTGCCATGTTGCTTGGCTTCGGCTCTGGATGTTCTCATTGCTCATGGACAAAGGTTGAAACTACGTGCTTGTGCAGCTCGAGGGCTACAGTCTGCAGGCCGTAGACGGGTGCTGGCATGTCACCATGATGTCAACTTGCGCAGCAGCAACAACAACACCAGCAGCAACAGCAACAACAACACCAGCAGCAGCAGCAGCAGCAGCAGCCGCGGCAGCAACGACCGCAGCAACAACAGCAACAGCAACAGCAACAGCAGCAACAACAACATGAAGAACAACACGACCGACAACTATGTACTACTATAAACGGCCACTCACTCATCAGGGAAGCAGGGTACCTAAAAGCAACAATCGTCACTTTCGCGATCGACAGCCGTACTAGTGTCCCGTCATGTCCGTTCTGATTCATTCCCATCAACTACAGAAACCAATTGTGTCGTTTGTGCTGTGCTGCATTCCCTGCACATCACGCTCTGCCATTGGCCTGCTGGTCTTGAATCTTCTGGCCATAGAAGAGAAAGCCACAAATTAGGACCTCATCGCGAAAGAGGAGTGGCTATCTTTCGATGGCCGAGATCGCTCCGACGTGGCAGTGAAGCCGCTGACTGAGACTATGAGGCGGTGTAAAACAATTCAGGGCAGCCGTCGAGATGTCTGAGCGAGGGCACGCAGAATGCATCCAAAACCGGCTCTCACTTGCTGAAGACAAGCCAGCTACTACTGCAAAATTGCAGGCACGGCGCATCTCTTGTCCACGCCCATAGGGGCCAGTCGGCAATGGATTTGTCGAAGCTCCAGTGCTTTATCTGCGAGGCTCGGCAGCACTCCGACGTTGTGCTGCGTGTTCTCATGACGATGTCTTGCTTCCAGTTCTACCTATAAACGGCGTCCGGCAGTCTCAAGCCTGGCTGGTGGACCAGGCATTTGCGTCGAAGGAAAATGGCGACAGGACCACCAACGGAGCCTCATCACGCAACACAAGGTCAAACAGTCAATTGAAGGCCATGCATGTTGCAGTCACTTGGAGTGCCGAGCTCCTGGCAAGCACGCCATCCAGGGCGACCACGCACCTGAGCTGGATACGCATCCCGGCCCAAAGAATGCTGACACATGATGCTGTTGCCCTCTGGGTCCCGTGCAGCAGTGCTACCTGTGACCTGAAGGCGGCCGCCCGCAGTCGAGTATCTGCCTGCGCAGCTGACTTCCACAGCTTTCTGTCATGGTAGCAGCAGTGGCAGCAGTGGAAAGGGTACTAAAAATTCTTCCCAAGTGCCAGGCAAAAGTGTGAGCTTGATTGATCAGCGCACAAGGAGTCTTCGCGTGTGAAGGCCAAATCTCAGAGTCAGGCACTCGACGTCAGCGGCACGCTGCCTGAAATAGACAAATAGAGTGCTGCGAGAAGATTGTTCGTTCGGTATCGCTACTAGCCTTACTAGCCTTTGCGAGAACTTGTTCAAGGAACTTCGTAGTCTTCTGAGAACATTCCATCAACTTGTGTCTAACAGTTGATGGCCAAACCCGCGGTAGCTCAGCCCCGGTACCACATCAAAAGCTGGCACCTTCTTCCAGGGACTGCATCATGATACTATCGGGCAGCAGCAAAGCGGATGTTGTTGCGAACTCGTATTTTCCATCATCTTCGTGCCGGTGAAATTGAAACAAGACTGACAAGCTGTGGTTAGTGATGGTAGTTGCTATCGTTTGCGTACTCTTCTGGCGTGTTTCAGCCGCACATGCTGCGTCTGTGCCGATGTCCAGACATAAACCACTCTAACTATAATATATATGATCATATACGTTAATATGCAGTATTACACTATAACAGACTATAACCAACTTACATAGTGATTTGCAATATACCATGTAATATTATACCTCTCACAGATCATGAGCTCAAGAGCCTCTGAGGCGTGGGCTGCGGATCCGAAAAAAGCAAGGCTGTCGCGACTACCTATAGGGCATAATTTCTGGCTATAGCCTAAGCATATTTTCGCACATTATTACATGGTGTGTTTGAATGTATTGTAGTAGAGTTTAGTAGGGGCCCGTGCACCTGTCCATGAGATCACGGGCAGCGATTTTCCACTCAAGTCGCTTCAGGCACGCTGCCAATGGCGTAAATATGGCTGCCTAGGGCGAAGACAACAACCTCGAGAACTTGAGATACTGAATCCGTTGCAGCTGATCATAACACTGCAGGGAGACCCGGCGCCAGTCTCTCTACCCTACACTCGCAGTGAGACCACGATCCGTTATGGATACGGCCGGTCCAGAGCCATGACTCGAATAGTTATTTCTCGCGTCTCTTCCGCCGGCCCAAGCGGGTGATGTGCAAACTTCTTGGCCGTGGCCTCTGCGCGAGCATAGCTGATTCACAACCCTACCAGGACATGACTTTAATGTCACTTGACCCGCAACCCCGCTGCAATCTAGGACTCTAGATGACTCTTGGAACCCTATTGGGGTGGCCTGTGTAGCTAACGAACCCACAGCACTCCGCTCAGGATGACATCGCCGACACGAAGGATGGCACTTCCTTTCACATGCACTGCTGCAGGGCTCACCACATCCAAGTCGCTCCCTGCAGCAGCTTCATGTTGGGTCGAGCCGTCGTGCTAAACTCGAACGGCCATGAACCCACGCCCACACACACACACATTGTAATCCTGACCAAATGAAACACTTAGGCTTAAACGCAAAACAAATCACAACAAGGTCCTTGTCACCGGCTCCCTTCAGCTTCTCGGGGGTGAGAACCTTGTCGATGAGGCCATACCTCTGCAACGAAACGTCTCCAAATCCAAACGTGAATGCGGTACCACTTGCTTCTTAGAGCTTCACCTGAGGACGGAGTCGATCCAAAGTCAGGAAGAGTGTCTTTTTTACAGCAGTGTCGAAATCTATTCTATTGTGCTGATGTTATACTAGTAAAGAATTGAAACATTTGTACTGATACAAAACTACAGCCACAGCACACGGCCACAGCCACTGTCATTGAAACTGCCTCTATGTCACCTACTGCTGCTGCTGCTACTACTACCGCTGCCGCTGCTGCTACTACTACTACTACTACTACTACCAGTGTGTTGTGAGTGAATCAGAATCATGATGTGCTACGGCAGTCTTAGTAACCGTCATAAAGCATTAGCAGATTGGCAAGCATATCTTTCATGTCAGCTCTGTGGCTTTTGATACTGCTGACGATGCTGCCGTTCTGTGAGTAGTGTTTTTGTTGCTGCTGAGTTTCATTGGAAAACCCACTCAGCAAGAATGGCAATCAAACTGCAGTGGCCAAATTTCACCACAGTAAAAATTCCTCTCCTTATCATTCATCATCAGATTTAAGTCCCGCACTGCGCCAGGGTCCCTGCTCAAACCTCCTTAACCTTTTGAACTTCCGGCTCCAGGCATCGAAATAGATGAGAACGTGCACTGACGGTAATTTCTGCGACATTGGCAGCCTTGGACCGAACTAAGCACCCGGTGCAACTCTTACCAGGGGCCACGCTCAACGGCCTCATCAGGTGTCATGTAGTAGCAGCGATTTGTGTCCTTCAGAATGCCCACGAGCCCCAACCCGAGCCAGGACTGTCTCTGCTGTCAATTGCTTGGAAGAACAGGAGCAGAGTGGCGCTTGTGAGAGATTTACAGTAACAAGTTCAGGTTCGAGAAATCGAAAAGACCTCCTAAACTGCACGAATCACCATACTGCGCTGGAACCTGCAAGCTGAATAGCCATAGATCGGTTGGCAGATACTTCTTCTGATGCACAGCAATGATAGTACACTGCAAAGGTCCTCCACCACTTGCTCCTTCGTCTTGCCGGTGGCAGTGGACAGCAGTTCGCTCATCGTTGACCGATTCTGCAACACCTGGCTGCGTTTGGCATGAGTTTGGATGTTCCGGCGGAATAGTATTATGCAGCACCGGCATGTGCGAGTCTCGGTTTGGCAGGCACAAGCGACCAGAAGAGCTGTGAAGCTGTCGAGTGTTAAGAGGTTCTCAGCGCGCACCCTGAACTCTGAAACCCTGAACCCCTCCCTGAAGCTGAACCTACAGCAACTCTGCAAGAAAGCTTGAAGCATCTTTGGCCTCCTTCGCCATAATCCGGATATCGGCCGCTTGTCGAGGGCCCTGGGCCGGTGGCTCTCGTGGCTCCGACAGCCTCGGGAACGAATTTCAGGGCTCTTCGAGGGATCTGGAGCTCTTCGGATCGGACTTCGCTGATGCAATGTATCGATCATTGATTCAGTTGTCGATGATGGTGGCCCTGCACTGTCGATGCTTGGGTATGCCCTACTGACCTATCGTTACTGTCACTCTACCACCCGACTTTCTCTATCGTCATCATCACCATGGTCATTCCCGGATTCTTTATTTTAGTGATTGCTGCTGGTAATAACCACCACCCATTGTCGGGTGATCAGATCGGTTCAGGAAAGACAGGCTTGAAGGGGCATGGTGTCTCATGCTCTCCCAACCCTGGCTTGACCCGTGCTTCGATTGCCTTGGGTAAGTGGATGTAACCTGCTGAGGCTGCCACATGATGGTTGCATTTGGCAGCGCAAAACCTTGATGTCGGAAGTTTCCGAGGATGTCAACAAAACAAACAAACATGACTTTATGACGCAAGTTTCCCGACAGGTCTGTCTCTGCAGTCATAAGTGAAAGCCGAGCGACGCTTGCCCTTCTTGCCAAGGCCCAGAAGCACTGCTGCCGTACCATAGGCCTCTCTCTGTCATATTCATCGGAGACCGGCCAGGGTGCTCACGAGATCATCATAACATGCATGTCATTGGCATTGGACTGACATCCCCTTCCGCCCCCGCCCCTCCACGGCAGCGAATATCAACAACGGCCTGTCCGATGGCGATGGTCTGAATGTCAGGCTTGATATACCTGGGCGTGGGGGAGGCAGTAGTTGAGTCTCCGAGTACAACTCGAGTTGCAAGAACTCGTCTTGAGTGTTACGACCTGATTGAATCAAGTGACCTCAAGCTCTCGTTTAGGCAAGCAAATGCAGGGACCAAAACAGCTATCAGGACGGCACCTGTTATGCACTTCCTCATGCTTGCTTATGCACGTCCTGCCCAAGAACACTCCCGGTTCGACCAATCCAAAAGCAGAGCCGTGCCAGCATCTAAGCTCTCGGCGCCATGCAATCTGCAATGGCGAAAGCATCAGTTTCCAGCCCGACTTTGGACTCACCGATATACCTTCCGTCAAGGGAGTATGCAGCAGACAGACATTCAACAAACAAACACTGTCCAAAGCACGTGCATGTGCACGTACCAACGCATTCACGCACATGCAGACAGATGCTGAACGCAATCGGGATCAGAATGTAAAGTTGAAGTCTGCAGGAACACCATCATGTACATGCCAAACACAAGAGCGAGAGAGAGAAGCAACAAGAAGCGTGGCAGGGAGGTGACCTGCCGCTGACACGGGTGCCCGGCCTTGTGTTGTTCTTGATGGTGGAGCCGGTGCTGTTGAGGTAGAGAGTGATCTAGGTGGATTTATGTCTCGGCTCTTTCCCTTCCAAGCTTCGGAGCAGTTGCACTCGGATCTCTTGGCTTACGCAGCATCATCCGTGCTGGGACTCGAAACGAAGAGGAGGTGTTGGCTCTGCTGGGTTTGCTGCCGGCTTGTCAGCGGACTCATAGTTGAGGTAGAGAAGTTGCGCGATGATGAGCTCAGTCACCTGCTTGAGCCAAGCCTAGAGCCGAACACAAGCCGCCTTTGTCCTTGCCGCTGGACTTCGAACATATCGAGCAACAGGAGCTGTTCATGGCCAGAGCGCGACATAGTGTCTGCACGGGTTGCAAGTTCATAATACCATGTTCTGTGTATGTTGGTGCTATGACTGACTTTGTAATGGCCAGTATAAGCTTCTCCGGTGTACTGCTTGAGCAGCGTACTGCTAACAGGATCCTATCAGTCTTATTATTTTGTGAACACTGCACATCACTGCCCTGCTATGGCTGCATTACAGGAACTTCTTTTCCACCATCGTCGCGGTGATCGTATTTGATGCATTTGTCGTCATCTTCATCGCTACGTCCCTCTTCATGAAACGCAGCGACAAACTCAGTGTAAATACAGCATGATCTTGTTGCACTTGCTATCGAAGCCAGGACATCTTCCACTGGCCTCTGCCGTTATGGGAGTGCCCAGGTAAACGATTCCTGAGTTCTGCAGTGCGAAGTCACCAACTAGACCGAACAAAAATGCTGTCCGGTGAAATCTTTCTACGTGCAATAAAAGATGTACTCGATGATGTGCACAGAATGGCCATGGTACTCCCTGAAATAGGTCGGGGTCTCGCGTCTTGAAAATCAGACGTGACGCACGGCTTTCGAGGTGCCCTGCAATCGATGTGCAAACAAACCCAACTGTATCTAGGTCAATGGACAGCTCATCTGTAAACCACTGAGGTAGCGACGTTCTTTCAGCAGCAGTGACGGCAGGTCTGGTGGCGGCCCGATGGGAGCTCCCTGCAGGGCAGAGTCGTGCTTTGCTTCCTGTAATGACTAAACTAAACATGAATGCACTGCGCGTGATGCAGTGAAGGGACGACTGTCAGCCACAATCTCATTCGCAGTAGGTAGTTCTGTCTTGAGCCCCTACCTGGCCCTACCTGCTGGCCTCATATGTTTGCGGCGCGGAGGCATAAGCAGGCCGCGATGTTTTGGCTTGCCTTCTGCCAGAACGCCTGGTCAAGAGCCCGACACTTGCCCTGCTCTTCGGTTACATACGACGATTCACTGAATAGCTGTTTGATTTGGGACCACCGAGAAGAACGTTTTCGCTTATTTACATGCTTGCAACAAGCAGCTCGCTTGCCTCCTGGAGGAGGCAACTGCTGCGCACAAGACCAGCGCAGAAGCAGAAAGGAATCCTGCCAAAATCAGCTGTGCCCACGACATGCACCGGTCCTCGCAGCAAGGGTTTGTGGACTGAGTGGCCTCCTCCAAAGGTCGCCCCACCGAAGTCGTGGTGGTCGCCGAAGTCTCGGCCGTAGCCCTGCGGGTGCATCCGTCAGTTGAATTTCGCTTTGGCTCAAGATCCCTGAAGTGCAGTTTGGAGCGTGTTGATTTGATACATTGTAGCTTGTTGGATGTCATCCAAGAATATGTTCTGTTGCAGTATACTTACCAGACTGTGTTACCCTGTACTATACTGCGTTGCTTACATGGTATCATACCGTGCTATACTATCGGACATTATATGACGCCATACTATACTCTGAACTATACTGCCTTCTGCCATAGTATGTTACGGTTGTATTACCGTATACAACAGCGTTTGCTGTTGTATCGCATATAGTACAATTGAGGTCATAAGCAATACTATGCTATAAATTTTATAAGATAAGAGCATATACGATAGTATGTTGCAGGTGTTGGGCTGGTGGGGAATTACTCGCTTCGCAGCTTCACTACCTTGTCCTGCCCTCCCCCCCCACAAGGCCCACGCCGTGCTACATTGTCCTAATATATTGGCCTATCTTATGTTGTGCTGCAGCAATATGTGCCATGAAATTTGTTAGTAGTAGTATATTGACATACATTCGATTCTGGTAGATAGATAAAACAAATTAGACAAAAGAGCAGATTACAAATATCTCATACCATATTGAAATGGAAGTAAGGTTCTTGATGGATTATGCTTCATGGCTTTCAGTGAAAAGCTCTAATGGAACATAGTATGATAGATTAAACATATAACTCTATGTTATATGCTTATTGAACTTGTTTTGCTATGTTATATAGTACCGTACTATGTCGCCGCACATCGTTGTATGCAACACGGAACTTTGCCATATTTCTCAATCATCCAATAATGTCATAACATATGTATATACGCAAATGCATTACATTATTGGCATGTACCTATACTAATTATAGGATATTACCACATGACACCACATCAAACAGTCTTACGACGTTCCGATAATGAGCAACGAGACCTCGCTTATGACACATCGTACGATAGCATATCATGCTGCCCTATGACATACTGTATAATATTGCATTTTGTTGCGAGAACAACTTTTCTATGAATATGCAATTACTGCTACATTATACTGTATTACATCGTATGTATTGTATTGGTGTTCTTTGCACAATATGAACCTGTACGATAATGCACTATCTACTATCGCATTATGCAAAAGCTATAACATGCTATGCTACTATACACCACGAACTTATGTTACACCGTATCATGCAAATACTTTACTGTTACAGGCATGCACTGCAAGCTCATGTTTTCTGAATGCGTTGGGCTTTTTGTTGCAAATCCTGTAAAGCACTAAGCAGTTGGATCGTCTCGCGGAGGTTTCGGGTTTCAAAGGACCTGTGTCAAACTTTGTTCGACAAGCTCACAGTCGCGAAAGCCACAAGGATCCGCACAAAGCAAACCACAAAGTCATCACACGTGCGCCGATGCAGGCCCAGTTCTTGCACTTAGCAAGAGTCTGCTTAAATGTCCCTCGAACCAGTCCTGCGCTGTTGCTCCGAAGACCTTCCTCGGAAGAAGTGGGCCGCAGCACATTTCGCAATTATGCTGGGATTCGGGGTCACAAGAGGCTCAAACAAAGCCTTGATCAGACGTAAGCTGAGGTCGACACATCAGAAAACTTGAGCTCTAGACTCTTGTAGTCTAGATGTCGGGCCACCAGCCATTCTTAAACCCGCGCTCCCTCAATTTCCAGCGTGCGTACAACCAAAGACCTACCTGTCTGCACTCCCGAGTCAAGTTCATGCCGAACGGCAAAAGACGGACGGATTGTAGTGGCTTGACTGCATATGAACAGTGAGGAGAATCCGAAGCGACGAATGCGTAGAGCTGAAGACAGTCGAAGAGGGTCTGGACTTAAGAAGCCTATAGAGTCTAGACCATGAGTGAGTCGAAGTCGAACATCACGGGATGTCAGCAGTGTGAATTCAAGCGACAGGGAAGTCATTTTGTTGAGAGGGGGAAACTGGCATTCAATGGGTGCAATCTCAGTCTGTCGGATACTGACGACCTGCAATGACCGGAAATTACCCGAATGAAGCATTCTGTCACGGATGTCACATCGAAAGAGGCAAGGCCCCCCAAAATGGCCGCAAGTAAGATTGGATACAGTCGCAGGAGCCCCAGCAACAGGGCACAACAGGACCATGACATTCCCGGAAGTTAAACGCAACGAAGTCAAATGGCTCAAGAAAAAGGAGCCACGTTGAGATCACATCATGCATGAGAGTCACATCGTGGCCTTCCCGATGATGAAGTTAAGAAGAAAAGAGGAACACATGCTAGTATCCTCGAGAGTAGGATGCGGCATTGGGCATTCGGAAATCGGTGTTGAATGCTCGGCTCCGTTGCTTGCTCCCTGGTCGGTCGCTCAACAAGAACAGGCGGTCTTATTATTCTTTTCGCATGGGATGAATGAGAGAAATCGCTTAATTATCCTGGATGCTCTCCGTCTGGCCTATCTCGTTCAGAACATGAAGCAAACCAGCGCCCACAATGAAAAGGATAGTACGACAAAGCCGGAGCCGGAGTAGCTAGTGCCTGCAAAAAGGCGCAGCATGCATACTGTGGGACCTGTAGAGAACGAGCTGTTGACAAGGTCAAATAATGTCGAATTGAGGCTGCCGAAGCCGAGCACCCGCTGCATCGGGGAAGCTGTTTTGCGACAGGTCGCATCACTGTTGATGTTGAGGAGGACTGTCTTCCAAGTAAGAGATTTGGTGACTGGTTGGTGTCTTCAGCTGTCGGTGCTTAGCCAATGGATGTGCTAGTGCTGCTGACGTCTGTATACTTTTGCACCCGACCCAAGCTTGGCTTATTCCCGCAACCACGAAACCAAGGCGCCCCTTGGCAGCATTTGGCGCCCGCAGCACAACAGGGCCTGGGAGCGTGGCAGAATGGCACCAAGGCCCTTTGGACTTTAAGGGCCTTAAGGCAGCCTTAAGGGAGGAACGGGTTCCGGCTCCGTCTCTGACGCTTCTCTCTTTGCTGAGCCCGGCACGCGCCGACTCCGCCGGGCCGGCCGCCACGAAACTCGGGGCCGTGTCCATGCTGCTGCGCTGTCCTGAGACTCGTCTTCGATTCTCGGGCTTATTAGTATTCCTATAGCTTCCACGCCTTTCTGCTTGAGGGGCAACCCACAAAACCTTTCGATTCGCAGCCGGGCAATGGATTATTCTGCAGGCTCTGTGCAGTGTACACGAGTGCAAGGGCGAGAATGCGGTTTCATTGGGCCGCAGCATAGAAAGCACGACCACCAGCATGCACTCCAGAAGATCTCAAACAAATGACTTCTCTCGCACTATCACATCCACTGCGAATACAGACAAGTCTCGGAGTGCTCCTCGGCCGGAAAATCGCGATGGGCTCCGAGCACGATATCGTAGCTTGAGGAGGAAGCGCAGCCAAGCCCAAAATGCAACGCCAGTCCCCTTTATCCAAGCACCTTTGTTGCGCTGCATAGTGCAAGCTGGAACCACGATTATTCGCCGCGATGCTCAATTTCCCCCCCAAGACAAATGTCGCTGCAAGTGCGAACAACCAGCATAACACAGCTGTGTTCAGCGACTCCTCGACGTTGTGATTACAACATGTAACATGGAGCTCTTAAGACTAACATGATTAACAGCTACAGTTTTTGTTAGACCATCGTCGGCATCGGCCTTAGCAGGACTGCTAAAGTCGTTCTGTGTCAGGGCGGACTGCGCCACGTCAGGAATTGACTGCCCTTTCGGGGTCCTGGAGGTTGGGAAGGCGCTGAGAAGGGGACTGCATAGCGATGCATGGCGCGACTAGTTTTCACCTGCCATGTCTATCCGAGGGTTTCAGAGTGGATGCACCTCCAAGCAGATCGCTGAGGAGCACTGCAAGGAATCATCAGACTCTGCTTCCACGCTCGCGGCGGGAATCACCATTTATCAACTTGCTTCGTTTCTCGTCGATCGGGGCACAGCGGAGCAGGCACCTGAAGATACATGCTGTGGACTGAAAGATAATGGTTGAGACCAGCAAGGCTAGCCAACTGGCAAAACAGGTATGGTAGAGCCAGGCGGTCATGAATGCTTCAACAAGTGTCAGAAACACCAAGGCCCATGCTAAAGTCACTTCCAAGAAGTACCAGCATTCTGGTCCCGGACATGATTCCCTCCTATAGATGGTCATAGCAAGGGACATCTGAATCTGAGCCATCATGCTGTTGAGCAGAAAGATGTGGTCAGAGAAATAGAAATTGAAAGGATGCACGCCAAGAAATATGACCATGCGCACTGCTGTCATGGCAGCCCAACAGACTACGACAACACACCACCAAGGGCACCACCAAGCAGACTTCGGCGCTGACTTTTCCACCGTTGAGGTATAGAGTTGCATGACGAGGAGGAGGTATGGCAACAATGGTCCATCCTCCGCCATCAAGTCGTTGATTCTAGTCGAAGCTTTTGGCAACCACCATGTCTCCTGCACAACAGCATGTCGAATAGGTCTTCGACAAGGAAACACAGCATTCCGGGTGCTTTCTGAGCTCACACATTGCATGAGTGCGCCGATGCCGAGACCCTCAAGAATATCTGGGAATACGGTGGCACAAGATAGCACCGCAACCAATAGCAGAAATGGCAATGCCCACCACAGCGCACGCGTGAATGAATTAGAGGCCATGGGACTTAGCATGCGCAGCGGAGAAGAAAAATCCTAAATCATACAGGAACCACTTCATCTACAATTTTTAGCACAGCATCTACTCAATCTACTCACTACCACAAAACGGCGACGGGCAAAAGAGCATGCTGGAAAGGCTGATTGTTGCTGGCTGGCACGGAAGTTTGATGCACCAAAGAAGTCTCCGCACTGTGCTCTGATGAGGGGGGTTAAACCGGCAACAGAATACGGCTGCATGTTGTCAGGCAAGGAACCTGCGGCATTTTTTCCAATAAAAGTGGCGCCCGACAAGCTTGCGGCCACAGCACCCACCAAGCAATTCTAAGTCGAGGGGGCGTAACTATATAAGCTTGCTATAGCTTGCCTGAGGTTCACATGGCCTCAATACCGAAGGCTATATCTACGAGTCTAACAGTCTAACACTGGCCTCCTAGTGCCCAGCACAGGCTCCGCACCGAGCTGTGCGGGGTACCGTGGCACCGAATCCGCCCCCGGACCCTTGGAGGACCGGAGCCGGCGAACTACACCCGGACATCACAAGGCTTCGGTGCTTGCAACGTCCGTGGCGACATTCCGCTTGCATTGCATGCTCTACGGCCAAGTTGGATCTTACTATCCAGGGGTATGATGCGGGCACTGCCTTCCCGAGCTGCGGCTCCCTGAAAAGTGCACACGGTAAACCGCGTTGCCTAATCGTGGCTACCAGTTGCAGTGAAGTTTACTAGGGCGCTGAATGTCTGGCGAGGCTTTCGGCGAAGCTAGCTGAAACTTTTCGTTCGAAAGCTCATTCCAGCGATGTTAACTGCCTGCAGCAACTTCCAGAGAGGCATGTTACATGGTGTTGTGGCTGCACAGGCTCATAACAGTTGAACAGCTGGTGACCAGGAGGAACACTTCTGACGGTAAGACGAACTACTTCAACGCAATATTCACGTATGAAAGCTGTGTATGCAGCTGAACTTCAATGGAAACAAGCCAGCGGCCCTCGCAGCTTGCAACTGATACCGGGTAACAAACGAAAGGAAGCCTTCTTCGTGGGCCACAATCAGCACACGACCCTTCCCCCCCTCGCCTCCAGCATTATCGTCGTCCCCAGCCTGGCAATCTGTTTGAGCTGCTTCACTCAGAGACCTATATATATAACATCAGTTCCTGCGCAAGGACGAAGGAAAAATAGCTCATGGTTTTGTGGATTTACCAAAAAAAAGTTCTACAAACAGTGTAGCAACATGGGATTCTTGCATTCGGAGAAATGCGTTTGGGTAGTGAAGCCCGCGCGAAAGGCACTGCACATGCGCGGACATTAATCGTCTTCCCACCACAGTCCGGTTGGAATCGCCACAGCGCGGTATGCGGTGCGTGTTCTGGGTTTCAAATCGCTCCCGCCGCAATCTCAGGTCCATTCTGGACTCAAGCAGTGGGGAGCCTGAGGAGTGCTCTTGGAACGGGTCTCAGGGCCTGGGCTGCTCTTTGCTCTAGCGAATCAGGTCGGCTCCGCTGTTCTGCGCGAGCTTCTCGAGCTCCTGCAGACTTTGATTTGGGAGCTTCAGAAGACTAATGGCACTGTAGAGGGCCCTCAAGAAACAAGGTCCTGCTCTTGAGAGGTCTACACATTGGGATCCCCTTTTCCGAAGCTCCCATACCATGGGACACGATGCTCGTAAGACCAGCTCTCCAAATACATCCAAACAAAGAAGTTTGCCCGTGGCTCGAGCATTTGATCGGCAAGTGGATGAAAAGAAACGACGATAGAAAGCAGTAACCAGCAGTAGATTAGGCAGTAGCCTTATTCGCGAGTTGAGCAGCTGTGCTGCGTTACGCTTAACTTAAGTCTAGTTATAGTTCAGGGCTTCACGGAACCGGGCAGCCAGGATTGGTTCAAACGCCCCGCTTCCGTGGCAAAAGCCTTGATCTCCTTGCTGGGGGAAAGGGGTTGACCTGCTGAGTATACATCCCGAATTACACTCTAACTATACACCCTACCGAAGAAGCGGAACGAGAAAATACCTACAAACAGGCAGGCCTTAGTACGTCCACTGCCATACACGCTGGATTATGTGCGGACAGCTCAAGCTCTAAGCGGCCTCTGGTGTTGGGATGTTTTGGGACTCTGGGGTGGGACTGGCTCTGCAGCTTCCTCCTTTCTGGTGTCAGCAAGCCGATCAACTACTGCAACCCAACATTTTCGAGCCTGCGGATAAAAACTGCAACGCCAAAGTCGAAGGCTAACAAACTCTGTGCATCCGAGATCCTCTGGCACTTGTTGGCTGGCTTCTCTCAGCACGTTTATGAGATCCTCCAAGCAAGAATGTCGGTAGGGAGCATTCCAAACTTTCGCAGGCAATTGTTGTGGAGTTTGGGCAAGCGTGGTATTGCCATGAGACCAGCACATCATCCAGGACGTTAGGGACATCACTATTCGAACTCATTGTGATGGTCGGCTTCTGTTTGACAGTCCGCATCCTCAGCCTCATCCCATTCCGCAATTATCATCATCATCAAGATCATCAAGAACTTGTTGATCGTCGTTGCCAGTCACCAACTACATTATTTGCAGCATTAGGACAGGAGCAAAAGGACCATCTTTGAAGGGTTTACCTTCTCGACTGCAGCTGTCACAACATTATTTGGCTGTCCTTCGCGTGCTTTGCTTTGTCAGACGTGAAGAAGGTGTAGGCCGAACCTGCACTATGATTGCTCTGAAAGCATTCTCAGGAACCGTGTGAACCTTGCCTGTGGCTCCAGCGCGACCAGTTCGACCCACTCGGTGAACGTAGTCCTGCCATGTTGTTAGACACGGGGTTAACCTTGCCGTGGCAAAGCAGTCCCGACAGCCACTTGGAAGAGACAACAGCGGACATGTTGAACGTGCAGTCCTCGATCTGGTTGGGGAAATCATAGTTAATCACGTACCTGTCAACTGACGAAGTAGCACAAGCGATCCGATCATCGACATTACACCATGGGACTGGGACTGAACCTTTTGAATGTAACTTCGGCGCCAGGCATATTGCGAGAGTGAGGGGGAAGGGTGTGTAGTTGGCGCACTTGATGTCCTGGCCGGTCGGAAATCAATGTGCTGACGCTATCAATCATAAAACACACCTCTCACGAACAACTCATGAGGCCAATTGCAACAACAACTGCACCACATGCAAACCGTACTACAGCACCGGTCGAATCTTGCTGTTTCGTAGTAGCACGACTAAAGATGTGCAATCAGTGGTGGTCGTAGTAGTAACACGTCGTCATGGCCGTAGCTGCCGAAGTAGTAGTAGTAGTAGTAGTAGTAGTCGTAGTAGTAGTAGCAGCAGCAGCAGCAGCAGCAGTAGTAGTAGTAGTGTCGTAGTCGTCGTCGTCGTGTACTCGTAGTACTCGTCGTAGTAGTAGTAGTAGTAGTAGTAGTAGTAATAGCAATAGTAGTAGTAGTGGCAGCAGCAGTAGTAGTAGTCGTCCTCGTCGTCCTGTACTCGTAGTACTCGTCGTAGTAGTAGTAG